ACTGGAAGTTTTTAAGAAGAGATTGGACAACCATTTGTCTGAAATGGTACAGGCTTTTCTGCCTGAGCATATGGATTGGACTAGAAGATCTCCAAGGTCCCTTCCAACTCTGTTATTCTATCCTATCCTAACCTATCCTAACCTATCTTAACCTATTTTATCTTATCCTATCCTATCTTATCCCATCCCATCCCATTCCTTATTCTATTCTATTCTATTCTATTCTATTCTATTCTATTCTATTCTATTCTATTCTATTCTATTCTATTCTATTCTATTCCTTATTCTATTCCTTATTCTACTCTACTCTACTCTACTCTACTCTACTCTACTCTACTCTACTCTCTACTCTCTACTATTCTTCTACACCAGAGATGTCAAGCTGGCGGCCTGCAGGCCACACCCACTCCAGTTCCACAAAGGGGGGAAAATGTGATACATCACATGATGGCAACATGACACTACGAGTTTGACTTCCGTGCCCTACACATTCCTCACTTTCCAACATAACTCTAAAGTAAAATGAGACCTGTGAAATTTCTAACAGGGATTGCACATTGTGAGGAAGGGACAGAAATTTAAATATTCAGTTCATTGAAAAAATGTTCCAGTCCTAGAAAACACAAAATGTTTGGGTTACTCTGGGTAGGCTTCACATCTGTGTAGCAGTGGTGGGATTCAAAATATTTTGCTACCGGTTCTGTGGCCATGGCTTGGTAGGCATGATACGGCTTGGTGGGCATGGCATTGGAAGGATACTGCAAAATCCCCTCCCCTCCCCACTAACCTGCTTTCCAGCTCTGTTCTCCTGGGCAGGGCAACCAAAGAAGACCCAGCTGATCAGCTGGGACTCGGGAGGCAGAAAATAGATGGGGTCAGGGCCAGTCAGAGGTGGTATTTGCCGGTTCTCTGAACTTCTCAAAATTTTCGCTACCAGTTCTCCAGAACTGGTCAGAACCTGCTGTGTAGGCCTTGCTTGTCCTCAGACAGTCCTGCTACTTTCTTTGTATGAAAAAAAAATGCATTAAAAAAGAGAACGAATCGCAAAATCAGGAGAAGAGGGGAACATTATCCCAGAGGGTCGAGGTCATTCCAAATTACCATTCCACAGGGTGCTGTTAATCCAGTAGAGGCTGTAACAACTTCCAAAGCTCCCCCATTGTGTTTTTTCAAGATAATCTTTCTCTCATTCACTGCACCCCATGCTAAAAGAACATGGTTGTCATTTGCTCTCTTGGCAGCCTGCAGAACATTGTTTACCACACAGCTGAGCAATTGAGGGATGCAGAGAATTAGCTATTAACTCGGGGAGATGAAGCTGATATTGTGAGGCAGAAGACTGGGATTGTTATACAAGATTAAAAATTCCAGTGTCCAGAATGAAGGACTGGACAAAGCATGTGCAATTTCCAACTGCTGCCAATTGGAAATATGCCCCCAAAACTGTTATCCAGCAATAACAACAATATTGGTAGAATCTTTGCAACAACAACTAATGTTTCAGTGAGGGCAGATTGTGTTATCTGTCTCTTTTCAGTGTGCTTGTGTGCATATGTGTGGTATCAAGTATTTTTAAATTAAACTTGATTCCTGATGTTTACATGTAAGTAGCAGTCCCCAAGGAGTGTATGTAACAATGCAACTAAGTTAGTGGTTGCCGTGTTGTTGTTGTGGCCCATTGGCCACTGTTTCCTCCAGCAGCCAAATCAGAGGAGGAGGAGGCATGGGAGTCAGAGTCAGCATCAAAGCAACCCAAGAGCTCCAAGGGGGAAGAGGAAATGGAGTTGTCAGAGAGAGAGAGAGAGAGAGAGAGAGAGAGAGGTGAAGCCTGGGCCATCAGTAAGCCCTCAGATGGAGAGTCAATAGCCCCCATGTCCAGGGATGGGATTCAGATTGCTTAACAACCGGTTCTGTGGGCGTGGCCTAGTTTATGGGTGTGGCTTGGTGGTCATGTGACTGGTTGTATGTAAATATTATAAATATTTATGTAAATATTGATTTTTTTTTTAATTAAAAAACAGCAATTTGTTCCTAAAATCAGGCAAAGCAGGGAGGGAGATTGAGTTACTCACAGAATCACAGATTCACTTAGAGATCTGTGTTTCTTCCATTGGCTATCTGAGTCTGTGCTGACAAATAGAAGCTTCAGTCCTAAGCGAGGTTCAGCTCTGCTAGCGGAGCCAAAGATCTAAACATTAGCTAGAAAGCAAAAAAATCTATCGGTTTCCTGCTTTCTAGCGAATCTAAATCTTCCAGCACAGCAGAACAACTGATGGTCGGGGGGAATAAAAAGGAAAAATAGCAACTTAGCAGGCACGTTTACCGGGTAAGGAGTGAGTTGGCGGGGCGGGTTCCTGCAGGTCATGTGGGTGGCACAGACTTGTGTTCCCTCACAGCCCGGATTAATTGCTTTTGCGGGGTGCATTGGGGTGACATTTCTCTGCGGACCACCAAAATTTTTTCGCAGATTACCAATGGCCTGCAGCCCACCGGTTGGAGACCATTAGCCTAGACTGCACTTGAAGGAGAGGAAGAAGAAGAGGAAAATGCCTTGAAACAGAGGAGGGGGATTTGAGGTGAATGATGGCAGGCCTCTTCTACATCACACCTACCTGAGAGGAGCACGTAAGAATAACAGTTGACAAATCTTGTTCACAGTATAACACTATAGTAGTTGTACATGGCCTCCAGCCACTCTTGCCCAACTCCTGGGAGAAGGGTGGGACGTGAAGGATCTCCAAATCACCATGAGATGAAAGCCACTTGAATCTCCAGTGTATCATATCATAGGAGCCTATACTTTCCCCTCTAATTGAACTTCTGAATAAAACCAGGCCTGAAGTTGAGTGGGAGAATGAAAAATCAATTATGCCAGGAATATAATCAACTCCCCTCCCCAATATTGATACTAAAATGCACATATACACAACCCAACATCATTGATGTACCAAAAGTGAAAGACTGTTGAAGGATGTTGACTACGGAAGGGGAGCTGGTGTGTTGACCACAATGAAATAGTTCTTGTTTGTCTGTGACTCTCTCTCTCTCTCTCTCTCTCTCTCTCTCTCTCTCTCTTTTTCTCTCTCTCTCTCTCTCTCTCTCTCTCCCTCCCTCCCTGTGTGTGTGTGTGTGTGTGTGTGTGTGTAGAGAGAGTGCAAGACAAGAGTTGTTCAGGCCCTCCTGGAATCCCACAAAATATATAAAAAGGGATGTGGAGTTGCACTATATATAAAAAATAACTACATCTCTACAGAAATAATATCTATATATAGCATCAATGTAACATAAAGCGAAACAAAATGTTACGTTGCTGTTTTATATAGATACTTGTTTCTGATTTGCTTTTTCCCAATAGGAAAGAACAAAGGAGAAACATCAAGACAAATAGTAAAAGAATTTTTATTTATGTGTTTATTTATTTCTTTAGTATCTGTTTGGTTTTATGATTAATAAAAAGAAAAACAGGTACTAAAAAAATAAATAAATACATAAATAAATAAATAAAACAGCAACTTACCAAAAATTAAGCAGGCAACTTCTTGTTACATTGATGTTGCTATATATTGATTTAAGCAGAAACAGATAATGTATAACAACAATGTAACAAGAAGTTGACTGCCTCATTTTTGGTAAGTTGTTTTTTTTTATGTATTTATTTCTTTAGTATCTGTAAACAAAACACTTGCGAAGCAACTGGCCACTAAGTGAGGACTTGGCCATTAAGCAAGGACCACTTAAATTTGGTTTGCCATTCACATGGCCACGTGCCCTCTCCAGGGCTCTCCTGGCCTTGGAAACTGGCAAAAATACTTGCTAAACAACAGGCCACTAAGTGAGAATCTGGTCATTAATCAAGGACCACTTAAATTTGGTTTGCCAGTCACATGGCCATGTGCCTAGGCCTCTCCAGTCACATGACCACGTAGCCACGCCCAGTCAGCAAGCCACCCCCACTAAGCCACTCCCACAAATTAGGCCACACCCACAGAACTGGTTGTAAAGAAATATGAATCCCACCCCTGAGTCTACCCATGCAGAGAGGAAAGATCAGGCCAGCGAAGCTTCGGCCTGGTCTACCTGCTGCAAAGAGGAAAACCAGCCAAGCTTTAGCCCGGTCTACCCAATTAGCCCAGCATGGCTTTGGCCTGGTCTACCCAATGCAAAGCGGAAAAATCAGGCCATCCAAACTTTGATCCAATCTACCTGGTGAAAAGATGAAAACGAGCTAAGCTTCGTCCCAGTCTACACAAGGCAGAGAGGAAAGATCAGGCCAGCGTTTCTTTCACTTGTTCTTCTCCCATTTTAATACTCAATATATAGTTGTACATTTTAAGATTAATTTTCCATCTGTCATATCTGATCTAGTTCCATTGGTTCTTCATAAAAATCATACCTTCTTGCATCTTACTCCTATCTTGTTTGTATTTGCACATGTGGCCACCATGCTAAATCAATCCCTTGATTGGTCAGTTCTTTAGATTTAAGTTCCCTTTTATCATTCAAAATGTCCTTATATCTCACAATTTTTTCCATATAAATCACATTTGGATATATCAGTGCCTCCATTGTGTAGAGGCAAAGTGGCATTTTCATATAATGTACTTCTTTAATTTTTTCCCCACAGTAACAACAGTGCATTTCTAACAAAATGTCTTTGAAAGTATCCATGTATCTTATTTTTCCCATACTATAGAAAAGCATGCCACACCAATTGGAGGTCATGTCCATCCAAATTTAATTATCTTTTATGTCTCAGATTAACCCATTCTTTCACCCAGACGAGTACAGAGCCCTGGTAATATAACCCCCAATCTGGCAACCCAAAGCCCCTTTTTAATGTTTGGTATCTGGTAGCAGTTTCAATTTTTGTTTTTTCCCTTGCCAAATATATTGTACTATCATTTTATTTACCTAACTGTGGGTTTTGTGAAAGGGATGGTGTCAAATATATATATATATATGGACCATCTGGTGGTAAAAGCCAGAAGCATAAATTTTCAAGGATGCTCCATGATGGATGAGAGCAAAACTCAAGGAATTCAGCCACTCGTAGAGTTAGTAGTTGCAGTTGTCTTTTGCGCAATACAGAACTGTCAGAACGGGATCTGTAGTAGGGCAAGATTCAGCACATCCCTTGGTGATATCGAATGCTTTGAAAGAAACACAAAGCAGAATGATTATTTTTTAAAATACCAAAGAACAGATCTGTAACTGTTGCTGAATAAAATGGCAAACCCACTTTTAACACATTTACATTTAACACATGGATTCTCTCCCAATAGGAAGGCAGACCTCCCCCCTCCAGTCTGGGCTGTTGCTGAGAAAGACGGGGCACCACAGTCCAAGCTCCACCTGCCCATTTCATTGCATTCCTTAGACTGTCCGGCAACAGAACGTGACCTCAAGGAAACCCAGGCAGGGCACAGACAGGTCCTAGATGACCTCCAGTTCTCTGGTGCATTTGGGAGCTCTAGTCCGGGTTCAAGAAGAAGAAAAGCTGTGAGAAAAATTAAGAACTGCACTTACCTATCGGAGCAGTATTATTCCACATTTTATAGCCTATTTCCTGCCCATCCTGACATTCTTCCCTGACAGCACACAAGTTTCCATTGCATGAGTAACATGTCTTGGTGTGTGCTAGATGAGAGAGAAGAAAAACCATAGAAATCTTATTTGGATATTTATTTTTCTGTTCTTGCAATCTTATTATTTATTAGATGATAGATCGCTTAATACTATGGTCAGCTTTGAAAAAAAAAAATCAAACAAAGATCAAATGGTCTAGAAAGTAGGAGAGAAGGCTAAGAAAAGGAAACATTTTTCATCTCACTCCCAGGAGTAATTCCATGGCAGAACTCACTATACAAAGAAACCTCTACTTTCAGTGGCAGTCTATCCCAGAATGCCAGCCTTGGAACAGCCCCGTCTCAGCCACGGGCTTCTCTCCAAATGGAGGCCTCCTCTTCTCCCCCAAAGGCTCCCACGGACCCTCCTTATGCAAACCAGAACAGTGAGAACATCCCATCAAAAAGAAGGGACCACAACTGCCTCAAATAACCTCCCTCCATCTCTCCCTTTGTTTTGGGTTTGATTGCCACCCAAGATCAAAGTTTGCTGGCCTTACCTAAGTCCAGGCACACGGTTGTCACCACCACCAAGGTCAGCAGCAGAGTTTTCATCTCGCGATCTTCTCTGGAGCCTGCAAAGTGTAGCCCAGGGTGGAAGCAGACACTTATTTATACCCCTCTGAGATGGGGGTGGATGGGTGGGGCTGGATATCTAGGATATCTGGAGAGAAGAACAGGGAGATTCAGTGGGAAAGGGAAAGGCCAGGGTGTGTGGCCTTTTTGCCCCTGACACCAAAATAGAATCCGGAACAGATCAGCTGAAGAACCAACCATTCCCTGTCTTCAAGGCAAATGCTACCATGCCGCGTGCAAAGCTACTGTTCCGTGTTCAAAACCTGGGCACCTTGACAATTGGTGTCTCTTCCTCTATTTATACAAGGTTATTCAATCCTTATATAACACAGAATTAAACAAAATATCTCTCTGCAAAGTTCAGCGCCTTTTTATTTTATTTTTTCTTTGTACTTCAGCCAGCCAAGTGGGCAACTTCTCAGAATCTTCCAACCTCTCAGGTTGTGACCGTGGATATGCCGTCCTTCAAGAAACATGGCCTCCTTTGAGCAGATTTGGGGATGAGTGGTTCTCTCTAAAACTAGCCTGTAGATCAGGGGTGTCGAACAGGATTTCTTCAAGGGCTGAATCAGCATTATAGTTCTACTCCATGGGCTGGTGGGGGCGGGGAGAGGGGGAGACAGGAAGGATGCCTCCTTCAGCACTTTAGCAATCAAAATGGGGCAGGGGGGGCGTGCCTTCCCCATCCTCCAGCAGCAGTCTGTCGGCCTAAAGCAGGCTGTGTGGGCCTCCCGAGGCTTCCACATGGCTTGTTTTGGTTGGCAGAGTGCTGCAGGAGGCTGGGAAAGCTAAAATGGGGCTGTGAGGGTCTGTGCAAGGCCCCTTTTGGCCAGCAGAGGCACTGTGAGACGGTCCTTTGATATTTCCAGCCCAGCCCAGCAGGTTAAATTTAAGCACCTAGCTTTTGTCCTGCAGGTCTTGAGTTTGACACCACTGCAGTGGACTAAAGGATTTGCAAGATCCAAATGTCAGGATAGACAAGGAAGATAGATCGAGGCGTGCTCAAAAAAAAAAAAAAAAAAAAAAGTTTTCTTACTGATGACTTTAAAACCAGAAATGCCTCAAACCTGTGAGGGTCCTGGACAGAATAGTCTTGTCACCCATAAAATCCCTTTCTCCTTGACAAACGTGCTTAAAAAAGTTCTTCACAGATTCAAGTCTGGCTTTTATTATGCCCAACGGAGGCCCTATCCATTGGTTAAGATTAATTTCCAATCAATCAATCAGAATAGAGCTGGAAGGATTTAATTTATTTTAATAGTACATGCGTCGACGGCAGCTTGAATTATATAAGCGTAATACTGGAAGAAGGAAAGCATACTGCCAGAAACGGAGATAATAAGGAAAATTATGGCCTGTGCAGAATCAGACAGCTTAACTCTAGAAATAAAAAAATAAGGGGGAATCAGAGTACTATGAAATGTGGAATATTTTTTTATCAATGGTTGCGTTAGAAGGCAACATTTTATCAAGGCAACGTTGGAACACAAGTAAATATGATGATTAGAATAATCACTAAAAATGTATCCAAAAAAAAAGGATTGTAAATGGTGAAGTGAAATTTATATACGTATAACAACTGTATCGCCAAAAGGCTATACCGTGTTGTATTCATATAATTAAAATAAAAAAAATAAATAGAAAAAAAAAGAATAGAGTTGGAAGGGACATTGGGGGTCTTCTTGTATGACCCCCCTGCTGAAACAGGAGATCCTATCCCCTTTCAGTTAGAAATGTCCAGAGATGAAGCACGCACAACCTCTGAAGAAAACTTCTTTTCCACTGATTAATTGTTCTCACTGTTAGAAAATGCATCCTTACTTCTAGGTTGCTTCTTTCCTTGATTAGTTTCCATCCATTGTTTCTTGTCTGGCCTTCAGGTCCTTTGGAAAATAAGTTGACCCCCCCTCTTCTTTGTGGCAGCCCCCCCAAATATTGGAATAGTGCTACCATCTCACCCTTTGTCCTTCTTTTTTCTAGACTAGCCATGCCCACTTCCTGCAACTGTTCTTCATATGTTTTTGTCTCCAGACTTTTAATCATCTTAGTTGCTCTTCTTTGCGCTTTTTCCAAAGTCTCAACATCCTTTTTTGTAATGTGGTGATAAAATGCAGTACACAAGTGTGGTCTTACTAATGATTTATAAAGAGGTACTAATACTTCACATGATTTTGATTCCATGCCTCTATTTATACAGGATTGTATTAGCGTTTTTTTGACTGCTGCCACACACAGCTGCTCATATTTAAGTGATTATCCACTAGAACTCCAAGGTCTCTCTCGCAGTTATTGTTTTTGAGCCTGGTTTCACCTAGTTAGTACATGTACCTTTGATTTTTCCTGACTAGGTATAAAACCGTGCTTTTCTCCACATTAAATTTTATATTGTTGGAAGGGGCCCATTGTTGAAGTTGTCTTCTGAAGTGTTGGCTATTCCTGCCAGCTTGGCGTGATGTGAAAATTTGATGAGTTCCCCTTCTATTCCCTCATCTAAGTCATTTTGGAAGATATTAAAGAGTTCTGGGCCTAAGATGGAACTTTGTGGTACCCCACAGCTCACTTCCCTCCATTTAGATGTAGTACCACTAAAGATTACTCAAAGATCCTAGTGTTAATTGTTGGCCATTAAAAGCAATGATTGAGGAGCCAATATTTTTTTTTTTAAATATAAATTTTATTTGGGTTTTCACAAAAACATAATACAAATAAAACATCTTTTTTTGAGAATAGCATGATCCCGGGTTATCACTTCTTCATACAGACACAAACTCGATTTCATATTCATCTTTGTGTTCTATTCCATATCTTATTAGTATTTTAACATTTTCTCCATAATTCTCCTCTCCCTTGGTTTCTTCAACTTTATTTTTAATTATCTCATATCTAAATTCAATTATATATCTTTTTCTAAGTTTCAATGTCTTTTCAATCATTATATTTATACTTTTGTCTGTCCTGTTTCAATTTTATATTATCTTTTCTCATTAAATAAATTTTCCCCTGTAGTTACTAATTGGAGTATGACACCTTTATATCTTTTAATTTTATCCATTCAACTCTTATTTAAACTTCAATTTATGCCTTTAAAATTATAATATATATATATAGTGTGTATTTTAAGAATGTACCAAGCAGAATATGGATCTATATATATGGATCTTTGGTTGTTCGGGTTTTCTCCCGCGTAAGATTCAAAGTATCTAGGCAACGTTTCGATGAAGTCTCATTCATCATCTTCAGGCTTCTGTCTTCGGCTCTGTGCTTCTCAGAGTGATGTGAGATTGCAGCTTCTTCTTCCTTTTAACTGCTAGTGGGGGTGTGACTTGATTGGGTGGGGGTTTGGCTGTGTTCTGATTGGGTGGGGGTGTGTTCTCATTGGTAGGGGGTTTGGCTGTGTTCTGATTGGTTGGGGGGTTGGCCGTGTTCTGATTGGCTGGAGGCGTGTTCTGTTCAGGTGGGGGCTTGGTTGTGCTCAGGTTAGTCTTAGTTGCTGGGGGATTTGAGTTGGTGAGCTGTGATCTTGCTGT